TACATATCTGTAGTACCTGATACAACAACGACCCCTTCAGCAACACTAACAGTAGGCCTAACAGTTGAGTTAATAATGTGTGAAAGCAAAAGTGCGATCGGGTACGTACCAGATAACTCTTTCTACACCCCTATTCTATACTGAATTATTTTTGGATGTGCAGAATAGCTTTGCTGGTAAGATCATTAGTGCTATTAGTGGGGCTCATAGGGTCTATGTCCCCCAGGGTACTGCCGGAACGTACCCTGGTAACTATTTGATATGGTTAGGGTTAGGGCAGGGGTCGAAATTAGCGGTATCCCGATATCCGCGGGATAGTTGATTCTTGTGTTGGATACCAGATTTCAATGCTTGGTATCTCGCCAGGATAGTAAAAAAAAATCATCAAAATCGGGATAGTGGTTGTTGAGTTATCAACTTTATACGGCAGCACATCTGAGCGAGTGCACGTAGAATGAGTGCGCGCGATCTGATCATAAATGTGATGTGTATACATTGTATCAAGTGAACCAGACAATGCGTCTAGACAATACGTCTGCAGTGTACTTGTCTGTGCATATCTGTGAATCTGTTTTCATGTTTTTATATTAATAATTACATTACATATTAATAATTTTCAAATGCTATTATTGCATATTTAAAGATTTTGGATACCAACATTGTTGAAATTACTATCCAAAAAATGGGATACCAGATCTTTGAGGGGGATACCAGTTTTCAATACCTGGTATCCCGAATGGATACCATAATAAAAATCAAATTTTGACCCCTGGTTAGGGTTAGTGAGTAGGCGTAGGCGACTCCCTAGACTCGTTAGTGGAGTAGGCGAGGTACGGTCCGGCATATTAGATAGTAACAGGGTACGTTTTGGTATACCGGACCGTACCCAGGGTACGTTCCAGCAGTATCCTGGGGGACATAGACCCTCTCAGCATTAGTGGGTAACATCCCAGTTGGCCTATGCTCATTTCGCCTACTCCCATGTCATTGGGACTACTCCCATTTCGTCTACTCTTAGAATCGGCAATATTCCCATTTCGCCTACTCCTATATGCTAAGTACTGTATTTTCTATTTTTGTCAAGTTTTGTTCTCATTATTTGTATCTATGTTTTTAGCTCATCTGACATAGTCAGATGCAGCTTGTAGAATCGCATGAGCGTGCGTCCGTAAAAAAAAAAAAAAAATGTTTTGTCAGATCAAACAAGTCAAAATACTTGATACTGTTATACATGATATTAAAGTATTTTAAGAAAACTAAATGAAAACAAATCTCAACTTGTAATTATTTTTACTTTTATTATAAACTGTTTAATTGTTTATGAAATGTTTTTGTTTTGACATTGGAATTTTTTTTCCATTTTTTTTAGAGTAAAGGTCGGCAGGAATAAAAAAAATACAGATTTTCAATTTTATTTTTTTTCGTTTTTCTTGAAAATTCGGGTCGGCGGATCTGTAAACCAACAAAATAAAAAATTATCGCCTAAGATCATTAGTGCCATTAGTGGGGCTCATAGGGTCTATGTCCCCCAGGGTACTGCCGGAACGTAACCTGGGTTCGGTCCGGTATACCGGAACGTACCCTGGTATACGTAACTATTTGATATGGTTAGAGTTAGACCCGCAGGGGTCGAAATTAGCGGTATCCCGATATCCGCGGGATAGTTGATTCTTGTGTTGGATACCAGATTTCAATGCTTGGTATCCCGCCAGGATAGTAAAAAAAAAATCATCAAAATCGGGATAGTGGTTGTTGAGTTATCAACTTTATACGGCAGCACATCTGAGCGAGTGCACGTAAGGTGAGTGCGCGCGATCTGATCATAAATGTGATGTGTATACATTGTATCAAGCTAACCAGACAATGCGTCTAGACAATACGTCTGCAGTGTACTTGTCTGTGCATATCTGTGAATCTGTTTTCATGTTTTTATATAATAATTACATTACATATTAATAATTTTCAAATGCTATTATTGCATATTTAAAGATTTTGGATACCAACATTGTTGAAATTACTATCCAAAAAATGGGATACCAGATCTTTGAGGGGGATACCAGTTTTCAATACCTGGTATCCCGAATGGATACCCTAATAAAAATCTAATTTTGACCCCTGAGTTAGGGTTAGTGAGTAGGCGTAGGCGACTCCCTAGACTCGTTAGTGGAGTAGGCGAGGTACGGTCCCGCATATTAGATAGTACCAGGGTACGTTTTGGTATACTGGACCGTACCCAGGGTACGTTCCGGCAGTACCCTGGGGGACATAGACCCTCTCAGCATTAGTGGGTAACATCCCAGTTGGCCTATGCTCATTTCGCCTACACCCATTTCGCCTACGTCCCATTTCGACTACTCCCATTTCGTCTACTCTTAGAATCGGCAATATTCCCATTTCGCCTACTCCTATATGCTACTGTATTTTCTATTTTTGTCAAGTTTTGTTCTCATTATTTGTATCTATGTTTTTAGCTCATCTGACATAGTCAGATGCAGCTTGTAGAATCGCATGAGCGTGCGTCCGGCCGTGCGTCAACAGTTGGGCACAAATCTTAACCGCTTGACGTACGGTCACGATATTCGGGACGTCGGGGGGGGATCGTCAAAACGAGTTGGGATGTCGAAGCTGGGGGTCAAAGGTCAAAGGTCAAGAGGTGTAAAAGAAGGGGGAACATTCCCTCCTTAACTTAAGGTATAGGGAGGAAATGCAGAATGTATAGCATCATGGTAGGAAAAGCCATCACTGTGCCGAATTAGGAGGTCACAGGGTCAAAGGTCAATGGGGACAAGGGCAGATTTTAGACATTTTCTGAGGACATGGTCTTGATGGAAGCGATTCAAAAACTTTTTCTGTTTCAACGTGACCTAAGCATTTTATGGCTTTAATTAGAAAGCGACAATGAAGAATGTAATTTCTCTGACAGTGCGAAGAGTAAGTGTCCAGATAACATTTCTGACCGCTCAGAGGCGGGTTAATACATGGGATTTCTTTAACTGTTAGAAAGAAGTTTGCACTGCGCGGTTTGCTAGTGAATCTATACCATGCCTGGATGTATCGAGGCTACAATGTCACAGATTGAAATTTTCAAAAGATAAATTTGGTTGAAGAAGGTTATGCTCCTTAGAAGAGTCGTGAGAATGTTCGTATGGCATTTCTGTACTGTCAGTATGTTACATGTTAACGGGTACTGGGCCACTGCCAGTGCCATTCTGCCAGTTGCCAGTGGCGATGGTGTCGGGTGGGGGGTGACTGTGTGGTTTTTGCCTGCGTTAATTATACGGTTACAGGTGCACGCTCTCCTATTCAGCCCTGTAGCTTGCGTAGTGAAATGGATGTGTGCTTACTACTTCTGGTCTTGCAAATAGTTGTACTACTACGTACGATGGGAGCTTCCATGCTTTAATCTGAAGACCCTTAAACGTACCGCCATCCTCGTGGCAACTTTCATACGATCCCGAAACGAACATTCTTTCTTGAGAATTAAAGGTTCCCTAGATACAATCCTAGATGCCTTCCACTGTTTCGGCGTGTATGTGAACACATTTGGGACTAACAGGGTTTACCAGAATCCCACCACTCCACCACAGAGTCACCGCAGTAGACGTTAGATGAGCGCTGTCGCTCCGCGGCACTTGTCTTCTGGTTCCTGTAGTCTATGTATGCCAATAAAAACCATATTTTATTATTTATAAATGATTATTTAGTGAACAAACCGATCGTAGGCGAAATGGGAATGGGGTAGATTTTGAGCGTAGACGAATTGGGAGTAGGCGAAATAGGTGTAGGCCAACTGGAAATCTTGCTGTAGGCGAAATGGGAATTTTGCCGTAGGCGAAATGGGAGTAGGCCAACCGGGAATAAACCGATTAGTGTACGCTACCTGCTATATATTTTTATTGTTTGTGCATGCAGTGTACTTGTGTGTTGCAGAGGAGCATTTGAATGGCATGCATTTAATTATTTGAATGTGGCCTAATCATTCATGATATTTTTCCAGGAAGAGTTTTATGGAAGAACCATCACCATTGCAGATAGGGAGTTTGTGGAACAGCAAGTCGGTATGTATACATAGTCAATTAAAACATCTGTCGCTTGCAATGAACCCCAGTAAAATTTGCCAAACATTCACCATTATTTCCACAGTTTTCTCCAACTGACCAAGCCCAAATCTATGCTCCTTCGCTTTATATACTACACTGCAGTTTACTTTTATTTTAGGAAATTATTTCTAATCTAAATCATTTGATCAGAATATCTTTTGGATCTGTAAGTGTAATGTGTAGATAAATGTTAACAAACTGCTTTCATTGATAGATGGCATGCTTGAAGATGCAAAGACTACAGACATAGCCTTTCTTGTTGTGGGTGATCCTTTTGGGTGAGGTGTTATCGTAGGTAACAATATTGTGCAAAACCTAGAGCTGCATGTTTCTTCGATCTTCTCTCTGTTTCTAAAATGTGTGCAAATGGCTCCAATAGGATACAAATTACATTAATTTCCCATAATTACTGATTTATTTTTGTCTGAATTACTGCATAATTGTTTCTAATTATATTTTCTTATTAATTATTGATAATATGGAAATATTAATCTTCATAGTAAACCAATGCTGTGTGCGAGACATGTGCCGCCCATATACACTGTGTGTTCACTATGTTATATTCCTTGTTCATCATGTCTTGATTCAGGGCAACTACGCATTCTGACCTCATACTACGTGCATTGCAAGAAGGAGTGTCATACAAAGTCATTCACAATGCCTCCATCTTGAATGCAGTTGGCTGTTGTGGGCTACAGGTAGTTTATATTATTGTATGATAATTAAGCACATAAAAAAACTACACATTTCAAATTCAGTATGGCTCATGCTACTTTTAATCGATTCTTGTTTGTCGTAACATATCATGATGACTATAACAAATATCAATCAAATGAATTATTGACTAACCAGTAATGGTTAAGGATATAGGATAACACAATGGTACTGCATGCATACAAACAACTGCCAACCATTCTTGCACCCTTCTGTTGCATATTTTATGCTAGCCATTGTATGCTTTCCTCCTTATTTCAGCTATATAACTTTGGGGAGACAGTCTCCATCGTATTTTGGACTGATACATGGAAACCAGACAGTTACTGTGACAAGATTACAGTAAATAGAAACAATGGGTTTCACACTCTTTGTTTGTTAGGTAAGTTGTACAGAATCAAATGATTCCATACAGTAATTTATTGCTTATCCCTGGAGCAATTCCTGGAAAATTATTTCCTTGAAAATGCCATGATTAGTGAAATCACAAATAATGAATACAGTGTTAAATGGAAAACATTGAGTTAAGGGAATTAGGCCACAGTACGGGACAGCAACAATATACTATTAGTTCTTTTTATATGCTTAAATACTTAATCATATTATACTTAAATATATCACATGAACATTTATAATAGCTACGAATGAATATCAATTTTACGTTTGCTAATGTTCTACTAGCAACACTAGCTTGTGTAATAGCAGTGCCATTTTAAATTTAAATTTATTTGGTAAGGTTGACTGGTTGATGTCCATGAGCCTCATATAACATAACACATAACTCTCAAAGAAATGGTACAGATGGAGATGCGCATGGCAGACTAGGAAATGCTTGTCATGGTATGGGGTGACAGTAGGCCTACCGATTCAAGCCAGTGAAAACTGCAAATGATAACTGTGCCTTTCAAACATTTTTTCCAGATATCAAAGTTAAGGAGCAGTCTTTGGAAAACCTGATGAAGTAAGCTTCTGTCTAAGTGAATATTTGCGGATAAATTTCTTATTGTTCTGGCCCGTAAAATTCCATGCATGTTCCAACAATCTTATCTCATACTAACGTGATGTAATCAGGAGTGTATATAATATAGAGAGGAGTATGACTCACTCGAAACACAAGGAATTCAACATTTCCATGTCCTATCATACCTACGATTTATTGCGTGAAACCCAATAAAAATGACCTCAGAACTAACGTTATACATCCAACTTGCCCTCTCACATTACTTTGTATCGATACCTTTTATTATTATGTAGTTATAGCTTCAACATCAGAGATGGGTTTATTCATTGACATGGTTAATTGGCGGTCGTTTCCGCCCGATTGACGTGAACAAGAGGCAGCTCGCTCTGAGACACTTGTTGGCCGGGTTTCTTCACTTTGTCATTTTGTACTACTTAATATGTGCAGCTGTTTATTTTTATTTTCGTGTTACCTTTTAACCTTTTTGTTCTGTCGTCGTCAGAGGGAAAAAGATTTATGAGCCACCCCGCTACATGAATGTGAAGGAGGCGGCCACACAGTTGCTGCAGGTTGTTGAAAAGAAACGAGATGAAGGGCCATCTAATTTAGGTAAGAGTGTTCTTTTTCTAATAAAACAGCATATTTTAAAGTCACCCTTGAAATGGTATAGTGATGGACATGGCATGACCTGATAGGACAAATTTGACTAAAATCATGCAAAATGTAAATTTCTTGCTCTTTTTCTGGGCTAATGATATAACTGTATGTACCCATGTGAAAGAAGCATGTTCTTTAAATTGCATAATGGTTTCGTGCCTACTTTTAGACTGTCCATTAGATAGTGAATAATAACTTTGAAGGTTTGAATATCTCAGATTTAGATCCATAGGATATGGTCACCTAGGAGGCCCCTACCATCTGGTACACCATTCATTCAAATCAGGGTAGAGGAGCACAAGCAATGCAAACTGTGGTCCAATCATCTTGATAAATTTTGTTTATGGTCATCATTAAACACCCTAGAATCAGCCGGAATTGTTCTCTGCATTTAAATCCAAAATGGTAGGAACTTTACATGTGGCATATGGATGTTTACATATGGGACTTTTACACAGGATTAATGTTACGATCCTTCTGACAATGGCCTCTAGTACTTTGCCTTGGAGGTTCGAGCTGATATACGACATTTTAGGCGTGATTGCCTCCTCCCCTCTAGCCCTTAAGATGAACAAGAAATCACTAAAGAGCGTTGTTAGGTATGCCAGCCTGTGATTAGCACGTGTACTGTTGCGCAGCCTTTGACGAGAACACGATCTGCGTCGGCCTGGCCCGCATCGGCAGCGACACCGAGAAGCTGCTCGCCGGCACTCTCCACCAGATGGCACAAGTTGACATGGGGCTGCCGCTGCACTCGCTGGTCGTCGCGGGTTACCTGCATCCAATGGAGCTGGAGATGCTACGCACGTTTGCGATCGACGTGGCGACGTTTGATCAGCTGCTTCACGAGCGCTTCCAGGATCGGCCGTGGCTGCAAGACGCACAGTGATGCGTGCACGAGTTCATGACCGCGGGGTGTGGGGCGTTGTCGGGACGATTTGGGGTTCGGTCAGTTCCTGGAACACCCGAAAGGTCGTGGATTTTTTTAAATGGCATTTTCCAGGCCGGTTTGGTCCTGTGAAATAGGGTTTTATGATGCTTGGTTCCTGGTGTCGCGCAAAATTCCTGACTTGGGAAATACATGATATAGGATGTGTATGCGCATGTGTCCTGACCCGACCAATCACAGCTCGTCTTTGTGTGCGAAATTTCTGTCCTGTGAAATAAATGATATAGGATGCGTATGCGCATGCAGATCTGAATTGACACACTTAAGCAATCAATGAGAATATCAACTACAATCTCTACTTATCAACTCTAAACTCGAACTAATATAAACATTACAAATTTTATACAAACCTTCAATTGACAGTTTGTGTTCGTCCAAGTGTACACAACTTATCGTAACACAAAGACGAGCTGTGATTGGTCGGGTCGGCATGCATGCACATACGTATCTATATATATAAAGTTGTTCAGCCGAATTAGTCTGTACTCGCATAACTAGAGAACTCCGCAGCCTAGAGGAAAATCTATATATATAAAGTTGTTCAGCCGAATTAGTCTGTACTCGCATAACTAGAGAACTCCGCAGCCTAGAGGAAAACTAAAGATATTTTCAGAATCAGCACGTCTGGGAGGTGGTTCTGGCTGAAGCAAAAATTTAAAAAAGTTACAAAAGTTAAAAATTCATAAAAATTCTATTCATCAATAGATGGCGGTGCGTACAGATTAACATCACGTACGTGTGAATCCATGAGGTATACCCTTCTCTTCGACTTCGTTATAGTCTCTTGGACCTTTGAAGACTATTCTTTATGAGGTTACTAGTATGGGGTTTGCTCGCATTTCATGCGTTGCTACGCATTTCAAGTTTTCGGCACATTTCGGAGTTTAGTGAGTCCCAAATTAAATATGTCTGCGCCCATGTGCTAATTCTTAGTGATTCACTGATCGCTACGAATTCCTTATTTGCGTCGTAATGCTATATTTCATAGGGTTAGGTCTCGGGGATGCTGAAGATATTACAGTAAAAGGCTTGCAAATCGTAAAACGAGTAGACAAAGTATATCTTGAAGCATATACATCGATTCTGACAGTTGGGAAAGATGCTTTGGTAAGATCATATTCATAACACTAACTAGTGCTGAGAGGGTCTATGTCCCCCAGGGTACTGCCGGAACGTACCCTGGGTACGGTCCGGTGTACCGGAACGTACCTTGGTTACAGAGCATATAAATCAACGTGATTTATATGCTCTGCTGGTACTATCTAAATTCTAATATGCCGGACCGTACCTCGCCTAGACGCCTACTCCACTAACGATCGAGTCTAGGGAGTCGCCTACGCCTACTCCCTAAAGGCCAAGCCACACTGCAGCGACAACGACCGACCGTAACGACAAACTACTTTTTAGAAAATTAGAAACTATTGTTTCCTATGAGCTATTGCACACTGACGCGACGACGACCGGCGACAACCTCGACGACAAAAATATTTAGAAACGTTTCTATTTCCCAGCGACTTTCGCCGGCGACACTTTACAAATGGCCAATCACAGCAGATTCCATTGGCACGTGACATCGCCATTACGTCATAAAATTATAAACCAATGCTAGCCAGGAAGTAGACTGGTCCCCAGCGCTAAACTCGCACCACCTGTCAGAAACAGTGGGGCCGCGAACCCATTTAACCAAAACGTGCAAGGCTACGGTCAGCCATCAGACATGATTATTGTTTACGTTCGTATAATATGCTCCGTATATATTACTTTATTATATTCTCGTTATACATAGAGCGTTTTTACAGCAATTTATTTAAAAGCAGCAGCAGGAGTTTTTTGCCGTTTGCTCATGAGTGCCACTGTCGTGAGTGCTGGGTGAACTTTGTCGTTACGGTCGGTCGTTGTCGCTGCAGTGTGGCTGCGCCAGTCGCCGCGACTTTGTCGTTTGTCGTTACGGTCGGTCGCTGTCGCTGCAGTGTGTCTTGGCCTTAGGCGTGCCGCGCATGTTCCTTGGAACTGGTAACACCTGTTCATGCATTTTTCATGTTTGCTTTTGCTCGTAATCCAATGAGAACAGCAATCATAACTCCACTCTTTAATAAAGCAAGCTGGTCATTGACTTTAACATTTCTACTGCATATCACAATACAATACACATGAACATAACATTTTTACTGAACATGTTGCAGCTATTCGTGGTAGTGTGTAACCAACAGTGTACATATATGTGACGTTGCACACAGCACAACGGGGTGACGTTGTTCGAAGTGTAGCTGCGCAAACTTCAATTTGCCTGCAACTCTCATAATCCCACATTCTTGGACGTATCGGTTGAGGTTTAACAGACGACTGAAATTGTAGAAACTGTGCTTCTGCTCTACACCACATTCCTCCTGGCTGAAGACTTTTAATAAAAAATTTGCCCTATTTTCAGCCCCCTGATTTCCTA